CTTTCTAACAATACCAAATATGTCCATATTGGTGGAGAACTGACAGAGATATGGGGAAAATGACACAAAAGATGGGTGTCAGATGCCAAATTTGGAAATAACGGGCCTGGGTGGTTAGATAGGACTTGAAAAAATTGGGAGAAAATATGGAAACATAGGAGGGGTGTCTAGGAAAGTGGGATATATTTAATCCACAGATAATCCGCCTATCTGCGGACTAGAAACCGCGGATATTATCCTCTCAAAACCCACAGTAGAGTACAGTAAATATGGGGATTTTCACCCTTATTTGCCTCAGATCTCCTGCATATCTGCAAGCAATAAATCATGTGATAAAACTGCAGATAATCCGCAAATCCGCGGATTAAAAACCGCGGATATTTTCCTCTGAAAATCCAAAACCGGATCCGTGAATTTCCAGATGCGGTTGCGGATATCTGCAGATCATCCAATCCGCTAGGAGCCCTATCTGAAATATTGGGGCCACATCAAGTATGAGGCGCAACGCTCACAGATGAGTTGTTGAAGCTGAAACCCCACCTTGCCACAATTGTCATCCCTGCCCTTAATGGGCTGTTACGCCAGAGTAGTGGACCTTAACGGTCGCCGATGGTGAGTCATGGTAACGTTTTTCCCATGCCCTGACACACAGCCACACCAACCTCCCCACCCTGAGTCCGCCTCTGGCACCGTGCCCAGCATGACTCCTCTACCCTGCCCACTTGGCCCCTACAGGGCCGCTACCATTCCCGCACCCGACTCCGGCCCAACTCCGAGTCTGGCACCGCTATGATACCATTGCTGCTATTGCAGCCCTACACTCCTTCCTTTATTTATCTGTTATTGTTTGTTTTGACCCTCGGTCATTGCTGGCCACTGTGCAGCCAACCCCGCTCCTTGGTCCCTTTTGCTTCCGGACCCTTCGGCCTTCGGCCCGGGTCCGCTTCAATTCATTCTACCTTCATATATATATCTTGTATACTACCATCAGCAAAAGTCCGTTATGCTCCGGAGCATCAAGAGTGGCTGGAGCATGTGGGAGACAAAACAGCAGATTGGGCACTCCTGGAGCCAATAGTGTTCTCCTGGGAGGGGGTTCAGGAGCAGCTGGGAGTGGTGAGGAGTATGTAATGTGCCAGGAGCAGTGGGAGGAAAATTTTGGTCTCTAAAAAGTTGAAAAAAAAAATTTAGGGAAAAATCAACAAAAAATTCAGGAACTATAGTGCCTTTAGGGTGCTTTCAGGACATATAATTATTTGCAAAATTGAGGAAGAAATGATGGAGAAAAATGGAAAATACTTTCGGAGACCCGAGAAATAATGAGAACTGAATTGACAGGAAAGTCTGAAAATTGAATAGGAAAGTGAGGGGAAGCCTTGTAAGCATTGTTATTTTCTGCTGTTCTGATTTTTCCTGATTATTCTTGGTCTCACTCCCAGCTGCTCCTGGACCCTCCCAGGAGCTTTCAGGAGCTTCCAGGAGTATTGAGGAGCAGTGTCATATCCATACAATCCCGACCTCTGCTCCAGGCTCCCGGAACTCTGAACCTGACTTCCGGAGCCCTACTTCCCTTCTGTCACCTCCTCCTTGCCGACTCCCAAGAGGTTATCCCACCTCCGGCTCCAACACCACCTTCGGTCTGACTCCGGAACATTCCGGGTCCGACCCCAACCTCGACACCTTCCAGATGAGTACGCAAAACCTATGCTCCCAACTCCAGACCTCCACTCCGGAATCCCGTTTGCGTCTCCATCTCTGGAACCTCTGGTCTTAGCTCCGACCTCGGACTTTGACCCCACCTCCGCTTATACCCATTGTATTGGTTAGCTCATTCCATTTAATTACGTTTGCCAATATTCCGGAGGTTAACTTCCGAGTTCGGACTTTCCGGACTTACTCCGGACCTTGCAACTATTGCATTGTCCATTTCAATTCCACTATTCTCCCTCATTCCTATTTGGGCTGCTGCTTCCTTCTATTCAGTCAGCTAGCCATTCCCGACTCCCATCCTCCTTCCTTCCTCCCCGGGCCCCGGCCCCTCATTCCTCCTTTGAGAAACACCATTGAGTCAAACCCTTGACCCTTGGTGTTGTTCCTCTTTCCATCTCCCTTTGTCTCCTTTCGTCCTACCCTTGTTCCTTTTGATTCCGGACCCCTCCTTATATACAATGTACCTAGTAACTTGTAACCTCTGTCATATCCATCCCCGGCCATCGACTTCCGGTCCCTCCGATTCCTCCGTTCCAACTCCGCTCCTCCCTCACTAACCTCGGAGCCCCCGTTATTCCGCAATCCTCTCGGTACCCCTCGATGGTCACCACCCCCCCATTCCAATTTATTACCTACACCTCCCTAAGTACGGAGCCCCGAAGACTTCCGGACAGCTCCGATGTCCGCTAGCGCACCCCCGCCTCCGCTGAGCAATACACTCGCCTGCCCTGCAGAGTCCACCTTCGGGCTTATCCCTCCTTTCCGTTTCTGGGTTATCGCCTGCCTTTCCGCTAACCCCGTGAACCGACTCGTCGGTAATATTCAGTCGGCTAATGGTTAAACCCCGTTAGCTCCGCTCCGTTCGGCTCCGCCAATTGCGGAACCGTCTCCGCTGTAACCATATATATATCCCACTTGTAGATAGGTTACGCCCCAGTAGAAAAATCAACTAGAGTTCCCCCCTAGGTTCTAATTGCCAGTCAGTAAGTTAGGGCACAGACGTGTCACTAGGCACAGCGCTCCTGGCAGAAGTCGCTGAGGCCGAAGCCCTCCGTTACGGAGACATTCTTTCGTCTCAAGTCTGGTCTCTGACAACCTCAGTCTGAAATCGACATGAATTCCCCCCAAGAGACTTTCCCTCTGCTAGATCCGAAATTAGGGACCCCTAGGACAACCAGCAATGGCACAGCGCTCCGCCTGAGTCACTGAGGCCGAGGTCCTTCCACGCTAAGTCTCCGATTCCATTCCGGAGTCGTCCGAATCCGCCCATTCTAACAAGCAGCTGGGAATGAGACCAAGAAGAATCGGGAAAAATCAGAACAGCAGAAAATAACAATGCTACAAGGCTTCCCCTCACTTTCCTATTCAATTTTCAGACTTTCCCATCAATTCAGTTCTTGGGTCTCCAAAAGTATTTTCCATTAGCTGCTCCTGGACCCTCCCGGGAGCTTCCAGGAGTATCCAGGAGTATCCAGTAGCAGCTGGGAGTGAGACCAAGAACAATCAGGAAAAATTAGAACAGCAGAAAATAACAATGCTACAAGGCTTCCCCTCACTTCCCTATTCAATTTTCAGACTTTCCCATCAATTCAGTTCTCATTATTTCTCAGGTCTCCGAAAGTATTTTCCATTTTTCTCCATCATTTCTTCCTTGATTTTGCAAATAATTATATATCCTGAAAGCACTTCAAAGGCACTACAGTTCCTGAATTTTTTTGATTTTTTCCCTAATTATTTTTTTCAACTTTTTAGAAGTCCCTATTTTTCAAAATTTCCTCATTTCCCTCTATATCCCCCCCTCATTCCCCCCCTCATTCCCCCCCTCATTCCCCCCCTCATTCCCCCCCTCATTCTCCCCCTCATTCTCCCCCTCATTCTCCCCTCATTCCCCCCCTCATTCTCCCCTCATTCTCCCCCTCATTCTCCCCTCATTCTCCCCCTCATTTCCCCCTCATTTCCCCCCCTCATTCTCCCCCCCTCATTCTCCCCCCCTCATTCTCCCCCATATTCTGCCAGCCCAAAAGTGATTAAGTTGCCAGATTAATCATATATCAGGCCATAAATTTTGATTGTGTATTGGTGAGTCTCAGTGTCCTTGATATAGTATAGTGTTTGATCTAAGTGTTAAGCAGTGTCTTGTTGTGTTAGTCTTGTGGTAGGAGGTATTCATGGGGGATCTTCCCTCTTTTTTTTTCCTTTTCATTTTCAAATGCTCCAGGAGCTCCCAGAAGCTTCTCACCCCTATACACTTTGAAGCATTTAAATTGTATTTACTGGATATGTTTGTGCACAAAGCAATGCTCCAGGCCCTCCTGGGAGTGCCCTGGAGTACCTAGCCAACTCCGGAGGAAATGGGCTGTTCCTGGACCGGCCAATCTCCTCCTGATTCTCCCAGTGCTCTCGATACTCCGGAGCACTCAGGAGCATAACAATTTTTTGCTGATGCCACATTATAGTACTTTAGCTCTAATATCGATTTTGACCATGACCTCCCAAGTCCTAACCCCAACAAGGCAACCCCAGTGAGTCTGAAATGAGGGCCAAGAGACAGGAGGGGGCACAGCGCTCCTTTAGAGTTGCTGAGGCCAAATGCCCTACCCTCAGGCCTTGTTCACGGCATCACAGCCATCGCGGCCTATAGCGGCCCGCAACGGCAACCCTCGGTGCCGATCCCGGACCAGTGTCCAACAACACACATCAATATCATGCTTAGTTCCACTGATAACTAGGGAAATGTTAAATATAAATCTAATCAGTCACATTCAATGGGATGGGATGAGGCTAGGTGGGAATAATTCTGGACTTGTTAAATGGGTTGGGTTGGGAGATAATAGGAAGGGGACACTCCGCAAGCATCAGTTGGTCAATTCCATTGGCCAGACCACTTGGTGTTGTAAACGCGGCATTCCAAATTTGGCAACCTGCTTCAGCGGTTCACTCGCAACCCAGATGTAATATAGAAAGAAATATAACTAAAATATACACAGCACTCCAGCACCCATATTTATACTCCTCAACAACATTCCAGGCTCTTTTATGCCCAGCGCTTATGCAGGCGCCCAGTAACCCCTAGAATATTCCCGGATATTCCGGTTCAGTCTCATCATGTGACTCGTATTCCAACACTTGGTCACCCCAATGTTGTTTTAGACCTTGCATGTAAGTACATGAAGTTACATGTCCGGGCCCCCGTGAACCCCCTTTCAGCCGGGAATTTCCGCCACCCCCTTGGAATGAACGCTGTAGAGCAGTGTAAATTTCCCACCCCGGGGAGTTGCCGCCTTCCAATTCAAACTCGCATCCACAATTTCCTTGATAATTGAAGTTGTAGCAGTCCATCACACACATTTATCCTCAAGGTGCAATCGATGACTGACATCAACGAGATAGATGGCTGGATTGAGCAACTCGGAAAATGTCAACAGCTCTCAGAGAACGATGTCAAGAGACTGTGCGACAAGGTCACATCTTCCATCCAAGCGTTCGCCACCCGCGCTTACATGCGTATAGACACGAGAGATTTTGATCGCAGAGTCAAACGTCCAGCCTGTTAGATGCCCGGTAACTGTGTGTGGTGACATACACGGCCAGTTCGTGAGCGATCTCACTGCTGCGGTTGTCCCATTCACGCCCTAACTCACTGGTCTCCAGCATGATCTATCAGAACTCTTTAGGATTGGGGGAAACTCTCCCGACACCAACTATCTCTTTATGGGCGATTATGTCGATCGAGGGTACTATTCAGTGGAGACTGTCACCTTACTTGTCACTCTCAAGCTCCGATATCGTGATCGAGTCACCATTTTACGCGGGAACCACGAGTCACGTCAAATTACCCAAGTTTATGGCTTCTATGACGAATGTCTTCGGAAGTATGGAAACGCGAATGTGTGGAGATTCTTCACAGATTTGTTCGATTACCTTCCCCTCACCGCTCTCATTGATAATCAGGTGTGCACTGCGTCTTAATTCAGTGTCCAGTGATGATTTTGACTTTGAGCCATAGATCTTTTGTTTACACGGAGGATTGTCGCCCTCAATTGACACGCTCGACCATGTGAGAGGGATCGACCGCGTTCAGGAGGTGCCACATGAGGGACCCATGTGTGATCTTTTATGGTCGGATCCCGATGATCGCTGTGGCTGGGGGATTTCTCCACGTGGCGCCGGCTACACATTTGGACAAGATATCTCTGAAGCGTTCAATCACAACAATGGACTTACTCTAGTTGCACGAGCCCATCAATTAGTCATGGAAGGTGATTCCTTAGTTCATGGTTTGTGCAGTGCTCATCTCCACTGATTAAACAAGGATATAATTGGAGCCAGGATCGAAACGTCGTAACAATATTCAGTGCACCGAACTATTGCTACCGCTGTGGAAATCAAGCTGCGATCATGGAAATTGATGAAAAGCTATCTTATACTTTGTGAGCTGTGTATTCTGGCGCCTGCAAGGTGCTAAGCAGTCGCTGTAGTTTGCAATTTGATCCTGCTCCTCGAGCTGGAGAACCACTCGTTTCCCGCCGGGTCCCAGACTACTTCTTGGTGAGTTGTGCCTCGGATAGAATGGACTTGTATTGATGCGAAATGCAGTGATTTGGTTGTGGCATCACATGAACCATTGTTCTCTTTTGTGCAACGTAAATGAGAGCCATAAATTATGATAATGTCGAACATATTTAGACCTAATTACTAAATTGGAGTTATTCGTGAGTTTGAATATCACAGCCACCTCCAGTTCCCATGCGAACGTTCTGTCGGACACTGGCTTCCCCCAGAATGCTGCCACGGCTTCCTATCCCTAAGCTGGAAATGACTGTAAAACGATATCTCGAATCAATCGAACCCCTTCTACCTTCGCACACATCCCGTTCTGGAGAAAGTGTAGATGAAGCGCGCAGGATACGCCAGAAGTACGCGGAGGAGTTTCTTATGCCTGGTGGGCTTGGCCGACGGCTTCAACAGCGACTAGTAGGCATGTACAGCCAAAGGTTGTGTAGATCGCGATTGTCTTGATACTGTCTCCCACCTTAGATTTGGACCGTGCGTCTCCGAATAATTGGTTGGATGATACAATTTGGATGAGAGTGGCCTATCTTGAATCCCGAGAACCTCTTATGATCAACTCAAATTGGTGGCTTACGCTCGAAAACGATCTCACTGTCCCAGAAAAGATACGCAACGGCACGCTTGTTGACACTCAGCTTTGCCGTCGATGGCAGATCCGGAGGGCTGCTTGGCTTGTCAAGAGATTCCTGGATTACCGTGGTTTTTTACTGGTGTACGTGAACGTCATGCTCGCTCACAGTTGGCTATAATGAGGAAATGAACCTATTGAAAAGGAATAAAATCCCTTCTTTGGGAGCTCATTCAGGTACCTTTGCGGTAATTGGCTCGTGCGATGATTGGGGCATAACCCCTGATTTTAGGAGTTTGGTTTCGCGAGTCTGCTCTTCGCTTATACGGTACTACGAGGATACCGAAGCCAGGCTGTGACTCTGTTGTGCTGCCAGGATGCCAACCTGGATCGTCATACATTCATGTGATGTTTCATGATTGGTCGTACGAACTCCAGGTGACCGACTTGGTTGGTGGGCAGGTACCTGCAAGGGAAGTTGAGGCTGGCCTTCTGGGGATTGTGGATGACGTTCTGAGACGGGAGCGAGACGGGGAGTCACCCATACTCGTTGGAGTATTAACCGCAGATGCTCGGGATCTTTGGGCAACGGTAAGTTAGCTCCGTTTATCCGCCCGGTATCACACTGGGAATGGTATCCGCAGAATCGCGAACATCTTATTTCTATCCATGAACAAAATTGGGGCACTATGGGGCGTATAGAAAGTTCATTATTCACCCTCTGCTTAGATGACCACACTCTTCCACCTGTTCAGCCAACAATGGGGGGCGTGCTGGACGGATCTCACGTGTCGGGACACATAAGAAACACCGCATCGGGGTTGTCCGGCAACAACAGGTGGTTTGACAAATCCCTATCATTGATCCTGGAATCAAATACTAGATTTGGAGTGATGGGAGAGCACTCGCCACTCGATGCACTGATTCCAAGCACCATTACAGATTGGGCTCTGGAAGCACCCATCGACATTGGCGAATTTGCCTCGGACTCGTGGTATCCATCTCGGCACGAGCCTGGAGGCTGGAAGCAATTAAACTGGAAAGTTGATCAACGTGTTCTGGATCAGTGCAGTGCTGCACAAACACGGGCTGAATCACTTATCAGTGGTTCTGATGCTCGCGAGCTCTGGTTCAAAGATTATGGCGCAAAATGGATCAGAGAAGGTCTGTGGTACTTGTGATGAGAGCGGTCTCCAGGACTTAGACGTACTTGCAGCATCTTTGTCCCCCGATGCCTACATCCAGGCCGCCCTGCAGCTAACCTACTTCAGGTTGCACGGTAGCTTGACGGCGACGTATGAAACAGCTTCGACGCGGCTTTTTCGGCACGGCAGAACGGAAACGATTCGTTCATTGACCACGGAAATGGCGAAGTTCATATGCGCAATGACCACAGAGACACCTGTGAGCTTTTGGAGTGAATTCACGTTTCGCTGAAAGGCTCATCGTTTCATTTTAAGTACCCCGAGCGCTATCAACGCTTGCGGTCTGCATTAGCATTCCACCATCGTGTTACACGTATGGCTGCAACTGGTCATGGTATCGATCGCCACTTACTAGGATTGCGCCTTCAAATGCGTCCTGGGGAAAGTAGCGACCTTTTTGATGATGAACTGTTTCGCTTGAGCCAGGACTGGAAGCTATCAACTAGTGGTCTTAGTGCTGGTGACCGATTCACGGCTACAGGGTTAGTGGAGGCTCGTTGAATGGTGCAGAGGGTCTGTGGCTAAGTCCCATGTTTTTTAGGTTCGGTGCCGCTGTGAAGGATGGTTATGGAATAAATTGTAGGAGCTCGCCATTACTGGATGGACACCAACGGCTGACTATCCATTCATCTCAGACCTCACTGGGGAAAATATGTTGAAGTTCGGAATTGAGTCAAAGCGAACCTCCACGGTGGCATCCACGGGCACATTTTGCCAGGGTTTGGTGGAGAGTCTGAACGATATGAAGGATACGTGCGTTCGTGGATCAATAATTTACGACCCGAAACTATGATGGTACGGATGCCCGACGGGCTTGGGTTAAGGAGCACCTTGGACGATAGTGTATAATGATAGAATAAATAGTAGATTGTTAAGGGGGTGTCATGACTGTTGACGAATGCTGTCTGCAATTTTGCGTAATCTATCTCGTTCTTCCTCGATGTGAAGCTTTAACAACCCATTCAGAGCCCTGTCGCCCCTTTCACTACGCACACTACTGGACTTTGAGGATATGGAAGGAGGGATCCTCTCGGTGTCACTGTCGGCTGTTTCCTGAACGTTCTTCAATAGCTCAAAGGTTGATTCTGGGATGCGCGGTGATCGCTTAGGAGTATGCATGAATGAAGAAAAGAGCCCCAGGTTAGAATGGATGGGCGTGTTCGTGACTGGCTTACTTCTGTCCAGAGAGTCAAATGAGTGGGTGAAATGGGTGTAGGGTGTCCCGTATCCAGAGGGATAATCAAGAATTGTCGAGGTGCTTAAATTATCGTGAGGAAAGGCAACTAACTGATGTGGAATCACATCAGATGGGGGGGTCGGCGCATCCGGTGGGGGTGTGGTAGACTGCATTGGGTGCTCGTCTTGTTTTGGCGGTTCAATTTGCTCAGGTGGCCCATACAATATGCCCTTGGATGTGGGTCGCGAAGTCGTGCTCGACGTGACGGAGGTTGGCTGCGTTGGTGGCGCGATGGTCACGGGGGACCTCGTGCCTCCGATATTGCGTGGGATGTTGATGGTCGCCCAAAGGCGGATGATTCATGAGATCGCTGGGACACGGACATGGAAGGCCGATTTGAGAATGTAGCTGCGTCATTTACGGACTGTGAGGAATTTCGTGAAGTTTGGGGTGCGTCAGGATCCTCATCGGAATAATGGGAGGCAGTGCTCAGACTCTCATGCGTCAGCGATGACGATAATAGAGGGTCTGGTCCACCACATTGGGGCGAGGCTTGTAAGTCTGGCGGAAACAAAGTAATTTCACCTCCCAGTTGGGGTAGGATTGGGGTAGAAGCTGTCCTCCTCACACGCTTGCCAGCTACCGGGGATTGGTTCTCACCTCGCAACTTGGTTCTTGGTGGGGGAGGCAGGGGGTGAGACAAAAGGTTGAGGGGTGTGGAATCACGCTGAGGTTTATGCTGTGGACTAGTGTGGTAGGTGATGGCATCACATGCGTCAGCTATTAGAGTAGTTCTGATATCGGAAGGCTCTGGTTGAAGAATGGGGCGTCCAATGTCTTCCGACGCACTCCCGGCATGCGACAGTTTTGGGAGACACGTCAACTTCTGGGGGCAGGTATCTGATGTTGTTTGGATAGATGATAAACTAAGATCTACGGCTTCAGTGAGTAAAGCGCGCCTCCAAGCCTCATCAGCAGCCCAGTGCCCAAGATCAAGGTTGTGACTGTGTGGAATAAAATCGACCATGGTGGAGGCTAGTATCGCCCGGGAATCGGCATGTTCTCCCGTTCCCTGGGAAGGAAATGCATACGATGGCAAGTCGATAGCGTCTGTGGGATCGATAAGAACGTGCTTGGGGAGCGGAGAGTTAACTGCGCGGCGTGTTGGCTCGAAAGGTAGGCGAGAACCATCCAAATCGTTTAGTCGCTCGCGGATCACAACAACTCTACCTTTGCGCTCGTTCTCGCTGACGATTTCAGTTGTGGGCGCTAATGGCAACGCCAGATGATCAACGTGGGCGCCCAGTCGTAACTGGCGATTCGGAACATGCGCTGGGGATGGTTGTGAGAGCTTCGTGTTTATGCGCTTCGGCCCACCAATGCGGAAAAGATTGCGGATGACAGGAGCTCCTCTTTTCGAGGATTGAGGTTCCTGGGCGAACCGAGTGTCAATATGTGCAGGTTTGGTATGGGCGGGAGGGAGGTAGTAGTTGTTTCGAATAAGAAGCTTTAGTCTATAGGACATATCTTCGGGATCCAGGGTCGGCTTTTGGACAGTGTCATCATCAGACTCAGTCTCATCGACCTCGATAACAGGACTGTACGTCCTTGTAGATGGACTAGAGGGAGTCTCAGTGCCCGTGCCATACAGCGTTGAAAGAGGGTAGAGGGCGGAAGATAGAGTAGCTCCCGAGGTCTGGGTAAGAGTGGAGCCTCGTGGTTTGTGTGTTTCGTGAGATGGGCCTGCAGGGCGGGCATTATGCACAACCCTACGCCCCTCCTCACTCTCAGAGGAGATGGGAATACACTTTGACGCGCTGATAGCGACTATCTCGACGCGCTTATTCCTGTTCCCGTCCTGCGCACTGGTCAGTATCACGGGGCGAATGGAGGGGTTGACACTTGCAGAGTTGGAGGAACCGGAATCTGGTTTGATCTGCATTGTCGGTGCATTTTTTTGCAAAGTGTCAGATTCTAAGTGCTGCTGAGCTAAAGTCGCCAGCCCCATCGCGACATTTCGAGATACAGCGGACACGGAAGTGGAATTCGAACCAGTCGAATCATGGGATGTTATGCGGTCCAGGAGATGTGTAGCGGGGGGATTGTGTGTGGCCATAGAAAGGACAGTCCCTGTATCAGAGGAACCGTACTCATCACCTGATCACGATGAGGGCCTGAATCACGTGACTGGTCACTTTTGTGCCTCCCTCCCTACTGATAAGCCATTCCAGGTTCAATGTCGCTGGCTTTAAGGTGATGGTCAGGGACAAGGTGTCGCCCATCCTTGCCCACACTGCAGCCGAGCTCAAAGTGTGACGATGTGTTAGAAACTGCCTCTGCCTAATGTGGGCATTTAGTGTAATGGTAATGTTGAAAAACTTACGCCAGCGAGGGTAGATTACGGAAGTAGACCATTAAGTCTATTAACATGATGTAAATAACCGTAAATACATGATTCAAGCTTGACTTCCAACAGGTAACACACTCTAGGTACCTATGCAGGGCTCTGCAGTTTGACTCCCAGGATGTCCAGATATGGGTCCGGGGTCAGCACCAAGGGTCGCTGTTGCAGGCTGCTATAAGCCGCAATTGTCAAGAAGACGTTCCTTGGATAGGTCTAATCGCTATCCAGGCAATGCTGTCAGGTGGAGCTTGGTGTTCCGGGTTGTCCAATGGTGGGTCAGAGACAGACTGGAGGTGGGGCGGAGCTCTGAGGGTGACAGGGTGTTGAAGGGACTCGGCTTCAGCGACTTGGAATGGAGTGCTGCACCCGGTATGTTCCCATTGTCCCCAATTTGTCAGGGGAGCTGGCGATGGAGGAATGGAGGCTGCCAGCAGAAGGGGGCCAGAAGCCCCCCCTCACTACTTAACAATGGAGGCGTTAGCGAGGGTCAATTGTTTGTCACACGATTCGTTTGGGTTTTATACCAAGGCATCTCTAGATGTGCCTGTTACTCAGTTCTTAGTTCTAGGGTAGAGCAGCAGACGAGTGGGACGTGATAGACATCCTGGAGGAGGGTTTGGAGGACTCAAGACTGTTTATATTATAACTGGGGGAACTATTTACTAGAGGGGTATGTGTTAGACACTGGTCCGGGGTCGCCACTGAGGGTCGCCACTGAGGGTCGCCATTGTGGGCCGCTATAGGCCATGATGGCCATGATGCTGCAAACAAGGCCCGAGGGTAGGGCATTTGGCCTCAGCGACTCTAAAGGAGCGCTGTGCCCCCTAGCTGTCTCTTGGCCCTCATTTTGGACTTACTGGGGTTGCCTTGTTGGGGTCAGGACTTAGAGGGTCATGGTCAAATTGATATGAGAGCTAAGGTACAATAAAGTAACATACAGGATATATATAGGGAGAAAGAATGAATGGAAGGGGACCCGGGCTGAAGGCCGAAGGGTCCGGAAGCAAAAGGAAACAAAGAGCGGGGTTGGCCACACAGCGGCCAGCAATGACTGAGGGTCAAAACAAACAATAACAGATAAATAAAGGAAGGAGCATAGGGCCACGGTAGCAGTGATGGTATCATAGCGGCACTGGACTTGGAGTTGGGCCAGAGTTGGGCATGGGAATGGTAGCGGCCCTGTAGGGGCCAAGTGGGCAGGGTAGAGGAGTTGCGCTGGGCATGGTGCCAGAGGTGGACTCAGGGTGGGAAGGTTGGTGTGGCTGTGGGGGAGTCGGCCAGGTGCAGGGGAGCCTAGGAGCAAGTGGGGGAGTGAGCAGGGAGTCCTCAGGGAGGATAGGGCTGAGGTCAGGGCTCGTGCTCACGCTCATGTAGTGGGAATGGGCTCAGGCGGCATCGGGACAGGCAGCTAACGGGCTGGAATGCACGGCCATGACAGTATGCACGTACATATAGTGGAAACAATTGGATCTGAAGGTAAACAAAGGTTACCAAGGGGAAGGGGAAGTAAATAGAAAAGAATCCACAGGACAAATAAGGAATAGGCAAAAAGCCCAAATTATGTCTGAGGTTTGTGGAGTGAGAGAATTAAAAGCCAACTGAATGGCAAGGTCTGGAAACGTCTATGAATAAGCAGGGGACTACAGAGAAAGACATCTGGAAAGGTCCGGAGCCCAGAAGTTGTAGTCCAGAAGATTGGGGTTGTAGAAAATATCAAATGATAAAACAATAAAGATTATCAAGACCAGAGGTAAGGTAGGAATGGGGAGGTACTGGAGGTGTGGAGACCGAAGGTAGGAAGGAGGGTGGATAGGCAAGTTGAGGTTTATCAACAACGAGCAGGTCCATCTCCTTTGAACAAGGGGTCCGAGGAGGTGGAGGTATGGTGGTGGAGGTCCGGAGGTGATGCAGATGTAGATGGGAGGCAGAGCAGGAGAGAGTCGAAGGAGGAGGTAGTCCTAGGGCCATTGGCATCGACCAGAGGCAGCAGAGAGAGATTGGGAGGGCTGGTGGAGGTCATAGGAGTCGTATAGGAATAGGGTGGAGGGAGGCAGAAGATCTGGGATATGACAGCAATGCTGTGAACAAGGCCTGAGGGTAGGGCATTTGGCCTCAGTGACTCTAAAGGAGCACTGTGCCCCTAGCTGTCTCCTGGCCCTCATTTCACACTCACTGGGGTTGCCTTGTTGGGGTCAGAACCTGGGGAGTCATGATCAAGTTGATATTAGAGCTGAAGTACAATACAGTATATATATAGGGAGAAAGAATGAATGGAAGCAGACCCAGGCCGAAGGCCAAAGGGTCCAGAAGCAAATATGAATAGGGAACAGAGTTGGCTGCATAGCAGCTGGCAATGACTGTGGGTCAGAACAAACAATAATAGATGAACAAGAAAGAGTGTAAGGCTGCAATAGTGGTGATGGTATTGTAGCGGTGCTAGACTCGGAGTTGGGCTGGAGCCGGGTGTGGGAATGATAGCGGCCCAGTGAGGGCCAAGCAGGTGGGGTAGAAGGAGTCATGCTGGGCATGGTGCTGGAGGCGGACTTGGGGTGGGAAGGCTGGTGTGGCTGGAGAGGAGTCAGCCAGGTGCAGGGGAGCCTAGGGGCAAGTGGGGGGGTGAGCAGGGGGTCCTCAAGGAGAATAGGGATGAGGGTCAGGGCTTGCACTCATGCTCACACAGCAGGACAGGCTCAGGCAGCATTGGGACAGGCAGCTAATGGGCTGGAATGCATGGCCATGACAGGAAGTCACTGTCAAGAAGATGTTCCTTGGATAGGTCCGATTGCTATCCAGGCGTCGCTGTCAGGTGGAGCTTGATGTTCTGGGTCGTCCGACGGTGGGTTGGAGACAGACCGGAGGTGGGGTGGAGCTCTGAGGGTGATGGGGTGTTGAAGGGACTCAGCTTCAGTGACTCGGAATGGAGCGCTGTGCCTGGTATGTTCTCGTTGTCCCCAATTTGTCAGGGGAGCTGGTGACAGAGGAACTGAGGCCACCAGCAGAAGGGGGCCAGAAGCCCCCCCCTCACTACTTAATGAAGGAGGCGTTAGCGAGGGTCAATCGTTCATCACATGATTCATTGGGTTTTATACCAAGGTGTCTCTAGGAGTGCCTGTTACTCAGTTCTTTGGAGCAGCAGACGAGTGGGACACGATAGACATCCTGGAGGAGGTTTTGGAGGGCTCAAGACTGTTTATATTATAACTGGTGGGATTATTTACTAGAGGGGTACATGCATACATATAGTAGAAACAATTGGATCCAAAGGTAAACAAAGGTTACCAAGGAGAAGGGGAAGTAAATAGAAAAGAATCCTCAAGACAAATAAGGAATAGGCAAAAAGCCCAAATTACATCTGAGGTTTGTGGAGTGAGAGAATTAAAAGCCAATTGAATGGCAAGGCCTGGAAACGTCTATGAACAAGCAGGGAACTACAGAGAAAAGGCATCCGGAAAGGTCCGGAGCCCGGAAGTTGTAGTCCGGACAATTGGGGTTGTAGAAAATATCAAATGATAAAATAATAAAGATTATCAAACCCGGAGGTAAAGTAGGAATGGGGAGGTACCAGAGGTAACAGAGGTAAGGAGGTACCAGAAGTGAGGAGGTACTGGAGGTGCGGAGACTGGAGGTAGGAAGGAGGGTGGATAGGCAAGTTGAGATTTATCAACAACGAGCAGGCACATCTCCTTTGAACAAGGGGTCTGAGGAGGTGGAGGTATGGTGGTGGAGGTCCGGAGGTGATGCGGATGTAGATGGGAGGCAGAGCAGGAGAGAGTCAGAGGAGGAGGTAGTCTTAGGGATGTTGGCATCGACCGGAGGCAGCAGAGAGAGGTTGGGAGGGCTGGTGGAGGTCATAGGAGTCATGTAGTGATAGGGCAGAGGGAGGCAGAAGATCCAGGATAAGTCACCGAGCAACACCCAAATCCAGTTGCTGCCACATGAGATGGGCATGTGAAGTCAAGCATTAAATTAGCCAGCCTGAAAAAGTTTCAGGGGGTGGCTCAGAGCACTAAGGACCCAAATCCAGCTGCTTCAGACCACATGATGTGGGGACATGTAGGAGATTAGCAGTAAGTCCGGCCTGAATATGAATTTGGGGGGTGACAGCTCATGGGCTGTTGGAAGCCTGGTGGTTAGGGTCACATGTGGATCATGGGCTCAATCCAATGTGAAGGGGGTGTGTTAGAAACCACCTCTGCCTAATGCAGGCATTTAGTGTAATGGTAACACACTCTAGGTACCTATGCAGGGCTCTGTGGTTCAACTCCCAGAATGTCCATATTTTATGCATTAAGGTTCCTGAGACCACATGTACAAATTCCAACATGAATGTGTTGAAATCTCTTTTTTCTTGGTATGCTGTGGACCATCCATTGAGTCCATTGGACCATATTTCTTGCACACAGACATTTCCTTGAAGGATTGCCTGATGCTTCCATTTTTGGAGTCCATGTTGATGGACACAGTCATGGATGGCTTAAAAGCCATGAGGACGAAATTTCTCTCTCTCTCTCCCCTCAGTTCACATATCTGGAACTGAGGTGAGACACTCTTGATCTAACTGCACAATGTAGTGATAGTGTCATATCCATACATACCCAATCCTGATCCGACTCCCGGACCCCCATCTTCACCACCTCTGGAGTCTTACCCTACTGCCATCCATTCCAATATTCACCTTCGGACCCAACACCACTCCCCCTCTTACTCCTCCACCCTTCCGTCCTTCTCCCACCCTACTTCCATCACTCTCCTACCCTATCTCTGTCCACTCCAATACTCACCTCAGACCAAACATCACTCCTCTTGCCACTCTCCTCTTACTCCTCCTCTCACTCCTCCTCTTACTCCTCACGACACCTCCACCCTTCCGTCACTCTCCTACCCTTCCATCCACTCTGATACTCGCCTTCGGACCTGACACCTTTCCTCTCCTCCACTCCTCTCCCCCTCCTCTCTTCTCTCTCCTCCCTCT